GAAGAAGAAACTTAAAGCTACAGTGCATCTATAGCTGAATGATCCACCTAATTGTTGGGGATGATCCGCCTTCGTTGCTCTAGAAGGTGTACAGATGTGTAACTTACATCCTGTTCACAGAAGAACATCACAATGATGGCTTACAGTAAATATAGCTTTTCGTATCAAGATGCAACGGCTCAAGTGCAGAAACAATATAATTGTAACTATGGCACCAGGTTTGTCAGATGGACAATGGAATCAAGGAATAGGAACTTCGATGCTGAAGACAAAGCTAATGATCGCCCAGTAATTAGTCCCTACCAACATAAAACACAATCTAAGTTTACAAAGCTTGGATATCGTTGAACAGAATGATTGAAAGCAATGACTTCAAACAGAATGCCGTCTCAGGTCCAATCAACTACGTGACACTGAGTAAATCAGCAAAAAAATCGAAGTAAATGAAACGAATATTTACTTTAAACGTATATTCAGCTCAGTGCAACTAAATGGTGCAGTTATATGTACATTTACAAATAAATTGTTCGAGCCAACAATTAACTACAATCCATATTGCAGGTTTTTAAAATAGCACTTAAATTGAGCATGTAAATAAAAATGCTAACCTCGAAAAAACGCGAATAATTACAGGCGATTGCATAAGGTCGCAAACAATTAATGACCAAACAATGGTAGAATAATTGTGCGTGTTTCTAAACAAGCGAAAAATATCCTACAAACTTTTATTTTGCAATACTCTTGACACACATGATTTCGGTAAACATTAAGGAGTAATCCTGAAAAATCTCCTTTCAAGTCTTGAGAAAAAACATAATCTAAAATTGATTCAATTTAAAAGCCTTCATTCTCTGATGAAATATAAGTAAAGTGGCCGAAATAAATTTTGTAATTAACAAAGAATAATATCCGTCTGACTCTAAAACAACCAACCTGCAAAATATCAAAGTATGTTCTGAGTTGACATCTATACATGAAAAATTCACATTATTATTGAACAAGAAATTCACATAATTAATAACAGCAATACACAGCAGAATCTAAGCTTTCGTATTTAAAACATAGGTCAACTCACCTAACCATATTACTCGTAAATACATCTACTCTCGCACAATGGAAAAACAAGCACACTTCAACAAGCTAAAAAAATTGTGCAAGAGTATCATGACAACAGGAGAGATGAAATGCCCACAAATAAGGATTTGTGATGAACTAAACTACAACATCAAATTGATTAGTTGCATCGCCATCAAAATAGGACTGGTCCTCTGATCATCACACCTACGAAAAGACCGGATACATAGTACAGTACTAGCACCACAATTGTCTATGCAGGGAGTACGTAGGGCAAAGCAGAAGATTAAACGATTCCGAACGAATAAATGTAGTTTATTGATAACGCGGATATTTTTCCATATAGAATAATGAGATGGCAGTGGGACAAATAACAAGTGAAATAAGAGAGAGTGAGAGCTAAAGACAAGAGTGGACACGTTTTGGACCCTAAAAAATCGAAAACGCCATTAAATACCGTACCTAACAATGAAAAACCAATAAATACTTGTTTCATTATAACAGTAATTCACAGCATGCTCTCTTATCACAAACGTACTACGCAACTTGCCCTGACATTGGACTGTAAGCCTTATATCTGATATCTAGTGCAACGGTCAGGATCAAGCCAAGGCATGACGCCTAGACAACACTGCCTGACGTCAGAGCGGGTAAAGCTTCATCTCGTGGGTCGGAATGAAAGTAGTTGGAAATATTCAACCTACATCATCACAGGATTGCTTCAGCTTAGAGTTCGATAGGGTCTGGTAGCATTGGAAAAAAAACAACAATTTAGGACCTATAAAATAATAAGATGGGCAACTGAAGGAAAAAAGTTCGTACAATTTCGGTATAGTTGAAATTTATGAACAAAGGAGCCTTCCAGTTTGGGCATCGCAGCGGGAGGTGGACGTACGGCGCGGCACTGAACGCAATATGCGGCGGTAAATCTTAAGCACTATTGTCAAGGCGTTCTTGACAAATTGCCATAGCCATTGACTTCAAAGAAAAAGACGCGAGTAATGGTCGTGTTGCGGCAAGGTACGATCTTTTCAAAAGATTTAAAACGTTCATTCTCTTCCGGGAGACCATCGTCGACATCAGAGGTAATTCACGTCGCGTCAATAAACATACGTGAGCGGCACGGCAGGGCTCCAGCCTCCCTAAATCAATGGCAAATAATAACTATGGTCCGTGCGAGAGGCGTACATTGTTGTTCATATCGAGGAGAGTTTCATGCCCAAATGGTTTCATGTTGTCCTCTATATTTATTGCGAGAAAAATTTGATTTTTTAAATCAAATAATTTTCATTCTATGTTTTCAGTGTAATGTTGAATTTAGTCATTATATGAATTTAGTCATTATATTAATATAGTCATTATATTAATATAGTCATTATATGAATATAGTCATTATAAATTATAGAAGTTTTGGCTGAAACTTACCGGTTCCATGGATGAAACCCAATAACTGTTATCACTAGCACAAGGCCCTCATCTACTGAAAGAAGTGGCAGAATATTCCGGACGAGAAGGTCGAGGTATAACGCTGTTATCTCGCCAACTTTTGCGCAGTGGATCGGTGATCCTAAAAACCCAGATGTTTTTTCCAATACATTGGTTTAAATCGATAGAAAAATGGAGCGAGTCTTTCCTGGCAAGATCATCGGACAATTTCCATACAAATGGTCCGCAAGATAAGAAAATGGCGGAAGCCACCAACAAAAATACATGACAAAATTGATGAACAGTAACGCAATTTTAACTCACTAAAACAGTTATCTCGAGAGTAACTTTTACGAAAAGGCATAGTTCAATTACTGTCATGCACGCTCATCGTGAAATCAACTCGTGCCTACAGCCGTCGGCAAAATTGAATCGAGGGTCTCCAAAACAGCCCACATTCATACAGCAGCCATGCAGCTCAGCCGTCGCGGAATGGTAGTTCAGCAATAGATGCTACAAGTTGTCCTCATAAAACAGACGAACGTTCAGTGAAAAATTTCAATACGGCTTTGCTGCGGGAGAGATAAACACGCCCGGCAGCGAGGAGGAAATACGTTTCCCTAAGAAATACACGGGCAACAACTGTAAATACTAAATAATTAAGTATTATATACAGAGATATACGCGACGTTATATTAAACTTGGAATACACGTTTAGCAAAGTTGTAAATTGTAACAAACATATGTTTAGGGGTAGTATTTTCTAATTTAATGCGAGCTTTATTCAAGACCAGAGCATTCGAGTTGGTTCCATAATACATAATGTTTAAACTTCTGTCATTCCAAAATATCAAACTTATGTGTTAAAAACCTTTCATTTTACTTGAACATGAATATTGAATAATGTGTATTCAAAATGTCATTGATATACCTAAATATATTTAGGAAACTTGCTTTTTGATCTACCTAAATCAGCGCAAAAACACACTATCCTCATTGAAAAAAAAGAAGAAAATTCTCGATGAAATGCTTTCTCCGATCTTCAATCGAACTTACATTAAAGAACAACTTCTGCGAAACTAAACCAATATTCTGTAATTCCTCTCACAAACTCTGTATTACGCAGAACGTTGATTTGTTGCAGCAATCCATCATAGAATCTCACCCTTGAACCCTGATAAAACCGGATACTCTGAATTGAACAGCGACGTTTCAAAGCGACCCGGAGCCATAAATTCATCGGCCGCTGACGACTTCAAAAACGGAGAAACCAAAACCAGGCGTCGGCGCAAGAAAATTGTTTGTTCCTGACGACTCAGGTGGAAGATTTCTCGGTCCGGAGGCTAGCAAAACCCCTAAATAATGGACAGAGGTGGTCGTGATGTCCACAAGTGATGAGCTACTGAGGCGCCTGCTGAAATTTAGAAAAGGGCTTCAGTACGATGAAGTTTTGAAGGAGATTACACAGCGGGTGTTGAGGTGCTTCAAACTCGGGTTTTTGATTAGGAGTTTGACTTGTGCTGAGACTTGAAAGGGTATTGAACTACGAGTAAATATGTGTGGCCAGTGTTTCACGGTTAGAGAATCATAGAGACCGGCCCATTATGATTATTATATAATACGCAACACCAAAGAAGTGCAAAGAAGTTAATGAATTTCATTCTTGGTATCACGTCTCCTTCCGATACATTAATTTATAAGCCATTGGATATTTTTCAAGAAATTCACGTCTAGATTATAATAATATAGAAATACAGGGAAAAAGAATAATAATAGGAAGTCCCGGCGCAAGAGGATTAAGCGCTACAAGCAGATAAAAAATCATCCTTAAAGAGTAGGGATAAATTTATGTCGAAAGCATCACAAGAACCATTACTACGTAAAATTATATCGAGCTTTTTTATATTATGAAGATAGATAGATTTTAGGTAAAAAACGTAACGAGACCGCAATAACATTATAGACGCTAAATTTTTTAAAGATTGAACATTTTAAACTTTCAAATAAATCATTAAATCTAGTATAAAAATTCATTCTACAGAACACAAATACTCTGTGCGAGTTTAAGGCGAAAAAAGATCATTGTAAAAAAATCGATAAATAGTTACAGTCGACATCCATGATCCACCTGAGCAAGTAAAGTCACGAACGAGAGGACGAGTAGTAAATGTTAATAAACTCATTAATACAAAGCAAGAGGAATATCTGCGTGAATAAGGAGGGTAATAAAGAGACAGTCAATTATTACAAATTCATCGACACATCATTACTCACAACGTCGATGATCTGCGTGAGAAAGGAGAGTAGCAAAAAAATGTAACTCAGTACTCACTGCAGTGAGTGACAGAGAGAGCATTTTCTGGTCAACGGACGTGGTCACGGACGGACAGACGGTCAGACAGACGGACGGACATGACGAGCACAATATCGCCTTTTTCCATGAGTGAGAAAATGCGCTAAAAAGACGAGTATTATAAAGTCATGGACACATCATTACTTACGACGTCGATGATCTGTGTGAGGGCGAGGCCGAAGGTTACGTTGAGTGCGAGGGAGGCGTTGACGGAGGGTCGCACGGCGGGGTCATAGTTCGCCAGGAGGTACTGAGTGAGTTTGTACTCAGTGTGATCTCCCAGAGATACGCGAGCTGTAGAAAAACGTGAAAATTGAATACATTTTTCAATTTATGCACGGATAATAAGAATCAATGTCTAAAGATCGATACAAATTTTCATGAAAAAGTTCCACAAATAGCAGGCCCGGCCCAAAGAAAAAATTTCAAAAGTTCACAGCCGTTCCAGTTGAGTTCGAGAATAGTGTAATAATCAGCATGGTAACAAAAAATCGTGCAGGTGTCATTCTAGAAAGGATTGTTAAAAATATAACATCTATGTAGATAAAATGTTTCAAGTATTGGTTTTAAATTCGCTGATATTTTATTTCTTACAAAATTCTTTGAGCGACGACAACTCGTCATAGAGATCCATTTATAAATTAAATTTTTAAGCTAGAGCTCTAGGCTTGATCAGAACCTCAGATCCCTCCCTGCTCCTTAGGCGGCCGAGACAAGTTTGCAAATTATCACTTGTTTTTGACGAGCTTTAGCTTAGCTCAAGACAATATTAAGAAAGTTGTGTTGTAAACTACTGCCTGCACGACAGCCTCCAAAATCTGCCCTTGTCTTCGCTTTATTGTTACTTTGTTCTCATTCCTTCCATCTTCGCTGCTTTTAGGTCGTTCATCACTGGAATAATTTTGGTCATTTTAAATATCTATTTTTCTATTTAAAGTATGCATGTGAGAAATAATTTTTATTGAAAGATGATTATCAACTCAAAAAGCTTTATTCTCGATATTATAGCATCAGAAGTAAAATGAGAACATCAAAGCCCCACACAACAGACGATCATGCCCACACAACAGACCATCATGCCCACACAACAGACGATCATGCCCACACAACAGACCATCATGCCCACACAACAGACCATCATGCCCACATATTCCTCATCAAAGTCATCACAGTCAACACGTCATACAATGCGGTTATCGTTCCGCCTCAACAGAAGCGAGATTGAGCCATGAATATGCAGGCGCTACATTCTATGTATAGAATGTATACATTCTATGTATAGTGAACGCTCCGTCTTCTGAACGCAGTGCGCGACATGCATAGTGAGAATAATAACATGAAACCCAAGCATCAATGGTTGTTTTAGTGTGTTTGTTGGAGCGGAAAATATTCACTTGAAACGCAAAATTAACGTTGGGATGCGGGATTATAAAATGACATCTAGGTATCTTTACGTTAACACAGCGGGATTTATAGGATAATATTGCATTCATATAAAGACATCAAAGTGGATGAAAGGGCTATAAAGAATTCAAGTTAGGCAATAAAAGATCTTTTGTATTGACGAAAAACTGTAGAAGCCAAGCGTTTCCAGAAGACGTTGACCAATGGAAAGCAAGCATTACGGGCGTACTAAGGGCGACCAACCATTGTCTATTGATTTGCCGCCGAAAACGTGACCGAATTTACGGCTCGCATTAACATAAAGTAGAGTGACCAATGGGTTAGAAGTGAACGCTATAACACATTTGAAGATAGCACGATTTATAGAGGATGAAATAGAAAAGAACTGATGATCCGCTGCGAGCAAGTTAAGTGCACAAAAAATTGTATAACTCAGACGTCAAATCGCATAAAGGATATCGGTAGGCTACATACGCCGCAACAAAATGCGCTGAATAAATTTTGACTTGTTAATGGATATTTCAGCAGCGCCCTCATAGAATGATTGAATACATATTGGCATATAGAGCCGGTGCAGTATGCACTTATCGCGTCAAACACACGTATAGCAATTGTTGAAATAAATATCTAGAAAACCAGCTCGAAAATTTTGAGAATTGAAAACTGATTTGGTTCGATAAAACTTGTGATAAATTTGATATTGAAGGATATTCGGTAGTGCGAGATTTTTCAGTGTATATATAGGCAATGTTTTTGGTAATAATATTCACACTAAGCAGGATGCTTTCGCTTCTAATATATACACAGTAAAAGGCTACCATCACACAATTTCATTTCAGTCAAATAAAAACAAAAAAATATCCCATTGTGAGAATCTATTTCTATATGAAATACCACACGTTATTTATTTACATAAAAGATAAAAAAGCGAAACAATAACTTTTTAATAATGAACATCATAAAGGAGCAGAATAATAGCAATAATAGAGCTTAGGCTTATGTATTCTACGGACGTGTTGATTTAAATTCTTGCTGGCATTATTCCGACGAGCTCTCGCAAGTTTCCTCTCATGGGTTCTTAAAGTCATCAAAATTTCGATTATGATGTCGATCGGAATGAGTCGCTCAAAACACCGGATGAAATTGCCCAACTTTCCACTAGAGGCAAGTTTCTAATACTTTCTATTAGCATTAGTGAAAGACTAGAATATTAGAAACCGGCAGAACGAAAGTTGAAATGAATTTAACATGAGGTGGGAATCAAAAAACTAAAATTCTGATGACAGGTAAGTGAGGTGCAAAAAATTTTTATAGAAAACAAATTGAAAACTACATAATTTTTTGCTTTTTCTTTGTTATGAGACGCTTTGATTATGAAATCCTTGCTGGCAAACATACCAACGCTTTTTGGCTGAAGTTGAATCAATGGTGTCATAATTGTTGGGCAGTTTCGAGACGGTCCTTTGCAGACATTATAGCATTTATGTGTTTTTTAGAGTTTTTTTTAAATATCGGAGTTATTGAGTGACATCTTTCGTTGTCTTATTTATACCTATCTTTTATAACGACGAGAGATACTTTTAGACCTGCGTAAAATATTAGCGAAATATATCTGACACCGCACCATTATTTAAAATATGATTTTCGATGATGGTTTCTTCACCACCAAGACAAAAGGGTTATACGGATACTGGCGTTGTAAAATTGCATATTCATGGTTCATGCAGTGATGCATGAATGCAGGAATGATTAATTTTTAAATCAATTGATTGCTTTAAAGTTTTCTCCAATTCCAGCATTATTTTTAAATTTCAAGCTGGTCGGTTTTCCCCTATTTTGTTAAAAGGGAAATTTTCAAGGAAACTGTTTTGTCATATATAGTTACTTTGCAAGTAATTCGCGCATGACGTCCGAATTCTATTTGAATATAACTTTAACAATAATTTATTCATTACATAAGAGTTTTTCGGTTATAGCTTTCGACGCTCTATTCGTACCTTGTATTATGGTCGCTTTATTTGCTGACAAACCCTACAGTGGAACATGCTGCACAAGCCAGAACCTTATATGCAGCACTAAACAAAGGACATAATAACTCATCTTACAGCAAAGGTTACACAAATTTCAAATCAGTATATAATAACGCAATGTTCGTTCTATACAGTCAAAATTAAATTTCTTGCCTGCGTGTAACTGTCAGTTGACGGTCACGCACTACGCTCATTTCTGTCGTGTATTTGTCAGTTGACAGTCCTTTTATACGCTCACGTTACTGTTCCTGTCATTTTCATTCTCGCGGATATTCAAATTCAGAGCAACGAATGACTTGTATAGTTCCTGACGCTGCCTTTATAGCCCTGCGACTTGAATTGCGTCATCCGAGGGCCAACGATGCTTTTGTGGGGGAATTATAAGCAGAAAAGCAGTGGCAGCATTACGCAGCAGTGGCAGCATTACGCAGCAGTGGCAGCATTACGCAGCAGTGGCAGTATTACGCAACAGTGGCAGCACTTACAACTTGGAGCAAGAGTAGCACAATAGTAGCACAGGTTACTCATAACTCTATGCAAGTATTACGCAAACGATTCTTATCAAGTTTTAAATATGTAACACACAACTCCATAGGTAAGTATTACGTATGTAACTCACAACTCATGGCTTGTGTTACGCAAGTTACACCTACTATTCTAAGCAAATGAGGCATTAAGTTAGAGTCTCGGCAATGTCATTCATCAAGAGAATCATTAGCGGCGAGTCTGCGAGACAGGCGGGCGCTGCAGAGACAGAGACGAGCTCACAGGCAAGAAAGGCGACGGCTCTGCAGAGATCCTGCGCTCCAGAGATCCTGCACAGATCCTCAGAAATGTTGTCACTAACGCGCTTATACCGAACCCGCAGCCTTGATGGACGATCGCTCCAAAGAGGTACTCGCGATGATGGATGAATGAAGAAAGGACAATAAAGCTGTTCCATGAAATAAAAAATAGCTTTTGGTTATTTAAAAAAAATATAATAAAATTTTCTTTTGAATCTATTGAATATTTTGTAAAAAAGTACAATATAACTTGTATAGAAAAGAATACGACAATTAGGAATATTTGATCCTTTTAATAGAGAGATAAAGATCTTTTTAATGTGACATGAATGTTCTTGAGGCTGCACTGCATAAACTCAGTCATATAAATTAGCTTTAGAGATCACATCAACGCGCAAGATGGTAGTAGGATGAACGTATAGAATGTATGCTCGACTTGCGTTCTATAGTATTATTCTGGCACTATTAGTACTATAGCATATATTATAGTATAATTATAGTAGAGTTTTATAAGGTATTATATAGCGCAAGTATTATAGATCATAAACTATGGCAAAAGTATTCCATAGTGAGGGATAATGTCTCAATAAATCACAACAAAATAATAGAAGGAGGCGACCCTAAATAAAGGGTTTGTCATTCGGGTAGCAGGGGAGAATCTGTTAACCTAGGAACGCCCGGTCTGGACTGACCTCCTCGAAGATGAATGTCCCCCAAAGCGTTGCATTCTTCTCAAGAAAGGATATTTGTGACCAGCCATTACCGAAAACAGAAAATGATTGTCTGGCAATCTCAGTGTCTTCTGACAAAAAAATGTCGAGTTCTAGTTATAGGGTCCTTTTTTGTTTATAGTAAATATACCAGGCCAGTGACTGACGTTTTTTTTACTGTGTTTTTGACCAAAATAAAATATTTCATCATTATGAGGGGGCTAATTATGGGGCTAAATTGCTAGAAAACGAGATGAAGTGAGAGTTCAAACCATTATATAAATGAAAGAATTAATGTCACTTATTTGCTTAAATCGCAAGTTGACTAAAAATTTAAAAGCAAAGAATAGTCCACAAAAATTCAGATCTATATAGAAAACGTTTCGGAGTCCAGCTCCATCGTCAGTTCGTAGAATCTAGAACATACATAGAAAGTCACAAGTTAATACAATTGAGAGCACAGAACACAATTAGAACCTAAATTTACAAGTAAAACATTGTGCACAACGAAATTGATACACCAGGGACGATCGCATATGAACAGGGAGCATATCTTTATATCTAAAGAAAGAACCGATTTTGAAACTGTTAACCAGAACAATATGGAGTTTAACGCTTGGAAAGTATCTATTGAACAAGACTTTTAATTCTCTTGACATAGCTTCGGACGCAGGGCCGAAGCTATGAAATATGAGTAAATGAAAGAATTCAAATATCTATAAAGGCATCTATGACTAAAGTTCCAACACAATAAATTGACTGTTAATATCAGAAATTTTGAACATAAGCGATTTTGAAGCACAATGGAAGCTTGTTTTTCCTGTCCTTTGTTTTGGATAGCAACACAAACATTGGCACTTCGTGCCTGCGCACCTGCAAAGCATAACAAATTCATTCAAATAACAACTGGTAAAGCGACGTCTGCTGGAGACTAACAAACGCAAAGATTTCCATAACAAAACTCTACAGACGACAGAATGCAAGTTTCCCACAAGCGAAATTTGAACTGCGAGGAAAATAAAGCATGGAACTGGTGGAGAAACGAATTTCAATCAAACAATAAGGAGCAGTTAGTATGCACAAGCAATAAAATGAATAACGGAAATAAGATAAATTTTAAAAAGCTATAAGCGAGAAGATCCCTGGTGAATCCGAGGAGAAGCATTTATCACTGAAAAAGTTTTTCTTCATAGCTAGACAGATTAGAAATGAAAGTTTGGTCAGCCTATCGGGCAAAAGATCACACAAAGAAGATTATTAATAATTAATGCAAGTCAGTTTTTTAAAACGAATTACATGACCCCAGTTAATCGCAACTACCCAATACGAACAAAATTAAATAATAAAACCATCCGCGCTTTCAATACAATATAATCGAGAGAGAATAACTTACCTAAAAACTCGTAACATTCTGCAAGCATTCGTGCGACAAAGGTAAATCTGATTATCATTTAAATTCAAGAAGGTATGTTCGCCCAAGTCCCGCGCTCGCGTCGCAACAAATCGCCCAAGGAGGAACGTGCTCGAGCATTGCAGATTCTCGAAGCTTTTCGCAATATTTATCGACGATTGTGCAAGGTAAGCAAACGCTTCAATATTTTCTGGCACCAATATTCAAGCTTATAAAATGTGCGATCCGATATTTATGAATGTGAAATGAATGCAGACGCTGTTTCTTCAAAAAAGAATTCTGGAGAGATCGCCTAAAGATGATAAATGTATGGGAAAGATGATAAAATGCACAGAAAATAGTATTTTTGAATAGAACATCTTTTTTGATACCTTAGAAAAATTGAGGCACTGTCTTCTTCGTTATCTGCCTTTCGTTACCTCAACAAGTGTGAAATGCAACTATTGATAAAAATTGCAATTAAAGCAAAAATTACTTCAAATTCGCTACTTATTTTATTTATATTTTATATTTTATTTACATCATATATTTAAACCGTAATAATTTAATAATAGAATAATTATATTTTCTACTAAGTCGTTCACGAAGTGGTAGAAACTTTTTTGCAACTCAATAAATAATAATGTATAAAAGTGCATGTAATTGTAAGTATAAAGAATTGACACGCTGAACAATGTCACGCAAGTCATAATGCATTTCTGGTAAAGAAACTTCAAACGCACCCGAACAGCGTGAGTCAATTCATAAGCAAATGCCTCATCTCAACGCAAAGAGAGCAATATAACGAGAAGCAAGTCCCATAATAACTATGATAACGTGGTGCAACTCAATTATAAAAAAACGCAAAATTCCCCCATACATTTCACTTACACCACACACTTCCACTGAACTCACCAGCGAATGTCAAGATGACGACCAGCCTGAGAAGGCAGGCTGCAGGACGCATGACGGCGGTGGCGGTGTTATTCAGAGCGCCAGTTTTGTACGCGTCTGAATACAAAAGAAGCTGAGGCGAGCATCTTAAGCAGGCTTTCGAAGGCCTGATGTATGGCTTAATTCGCACCCCTGATTGTGAACTGCGAACGCCGGCAACGGCCATACTTCTAGGCAGGCCGACGTTAGCTGAAAGGAGGCAGCGCAATTCGCGTGATCGAGCGAGCTGCGTGGCTGGTTAATGCGCCCACTGAAGTTCTTCTCGTGAACCTTCTGCGTACTCGTTTCTGTACGTCTTAACTGGATCTTAGAACATAGATAATGAACGTGCGGATTACCATAGTAAAATTCTGGTGATCAAGCGAGCTGCGTTTCTGGTTAACGTGCTCACTGAAATTCTTCTTGTGGAACCATGTGTTTCTGTACGTCTTAACTGGATCTTAGAATGTCGAAAGTTTCCAGGTGAATTGCTACCGAAAAATGTCATAATCATTATCAGCGAATGAGAGCTGTTAGTTTTTAATCGCTCATAACTTGATAGAAGCTAATTTTCATCAGAAGTTAACAACCTATGGACAAATGGTGGAGAAAAATTATTCCAGGTTTAATAGATCAGGCTTTCTGCAAAACTTCAACGATCATGTTTATACAAAACAATAAATGTTTCACTAGATGATGTATTGTCTTATGATTCTATTCAAAAAGTTGCATCCCAGGAGAAGTTCATTTATTGCACACAACCGCATAACGTGTGCTGAGTCTCATGGAAATTTTTCGATCAATTGTTCACAAACTTTTTCACTCGTCCCTTGTGTACCGCTCACCGGATCGTCGACCAATTTGAAGAGCTGAGAATTTCAGAGGCTTCACTATTCCTGAATCGTTGGGGCCTTTTTTGTCGGTTAAAGGACGTCCAGGAAGTCTTGAGGCCTGCAAAAAAGTACGACAATGTTATAAAATCAATACGCAGACAGTCACAACGTTCATGTGCCATATAATAACTCAAATTCGAATAAAAGTGTATAATATTCCATGATGATCCTCTTCTAAACGAGAATTTTATATAATAAGAAATCCTAAAATTACATTCGCTGGTAGCCTTCAATTAATGACACTGGAAATACAATATAATTAAGGTCAAGTTCCATTGATTTAGCGCACGCCGACTTAGCGATTCATTTTAATTTGAGATGTTAGACTGTAGATTTCCTTGCGCATTTTCAAGAATATTAAATTAGACAGATTTTTTAAAAAATGATTATTTTGACTGAATGAAAGGTATCCTGAGTAAAACTAGAGTTAAAACTGATTAAGAGAATGAAGCGTCAGTCCACACTCAGTCGTTGCCGATTCGAAACAATACGTTTAGTACTTTGTTTCAAAATGTACAGCGAAAAATGCAATCACTCATACAATGATCTGTTTTAAAATCAGATACCTTTCGAATTCAATCATCACACCTCAAGCATGTTCAATGGCCACCGGGAATAAATTCAATGGCCACCGTGGGCATTAACGTGCGCTGTGCCTTGAATGGTCGCAAAGGTGACCAAATACATTGAATTAGGATAAAGTCTAAAAATCAAATTAAATTTCAATGCAAAAATGCGCTGTATATTGTATTGGCGGCAGGAAGGAAAATATTATTATTCGGGACCAGCAGTCATCAATCATGGCGGTCACAATGAAGGCAACCATAAAACAGGGCTGGGAAATTCAAAAGCTTCCCGCTGCGGTTTGAATTTACGATGCAATTAACGCAGAGTTGTGGCACTATGTGCTACAGATGATGTGTCACGATTTACTACAATCAATGTAGCTTCAGGGTGTGAGCGAAATTTCTGTTTTCTTCAGTATGAAAACCTAAAATTAATGAAAGTAATTTCATAATTAATTTGGACATTGGAAGTTACGTAGATGCATTTGTGCTGTGATTTAAAAAAATTGTGTCGAATTAAAGTAACTGCATGCGGTACTGACCGCTTTATTAACGTCTCGCTTCAAAATTAAATGAAGAACATCAATTGATATTCACATAATTGCATTAAGCATGCATGTGAGGTCTAAAACCAACAAATCCTAATTAATATCGCGTACATCGGAAGACAGCGAAAATGTAATGAACAAGTTTGAAAACTCTCTAATTTATATCACTCTACAGCGCATATCGTATTTGAAAACTCCGCATAGCTTCCGTTCAATCCGCAGCAAACGCATCGCGCTTATTCACCGTGAAACCACAGATGAAATTTTAAATTTGATTTTTTGGTCTTATTGAACTGACATTGCGAGTCCACAATTTAGGAGGACTAGAATAATTTGGCAAATGGAAACAAAAAAACCGGGGGCGATTTTTGTATCAGACAAAGAGCGGCGGAAGGCAGCTTAGGACTGACTGGCTAAGGTAATTTCGGTGATTCGGAGTCGGTTTTCTTTTTTTCTCATTCCGAGACGGCGATTCCATCATAGGAATGAATCTTTGGCTTAACTTTACGAAACCTTGACCATTGGCGACGAAAGTCTACGGAAAGCCACAGAAAATTGTCAAGTCGGAGTTGAAGAAAACTGGTAAAATTCACCTCAATTTATATAAAAGTCTTGCGGTTGTCTTATCTACTAATGCTAACTCTGACTGAAAATTTTTCTATCAACACCAATTACAGCGTTTGAGTTTTCTTATAAATCGGAAAAATAGTGAATACATGATCTAAAGTCCGTAGTCATTTTTGTTCCAAGGAATATTTTTGTGCGGCCAACCTAAACGGGAGGTAAAACAATTGCCAGGAACTGACCATCACAATGCATAAATCTCCCTAAAGGCACTAAAAAATCAGAATTTCATTTGCCGAATAGAGCTTTGAATTCAAAGTTTTTTGCGTAAGAGCTGCGGCTAAGCATCAATTACTACGTTCTCCGGCATAGAATTTTTTATTAGCACGAATCTCAACGGCAAATTACGAAAAAAATTCATAACATTTTGCGTCAAGCCATCACTAATAAGAGCTGGAAAAATTTGAATTTATTCCAGTAAAGCCTGAAGTTTGCATGCACTACGAAAAATTTGTCATTTTGTCCAAATATCGACACTTTCTAAATCGCTGCACAAGCAGAGAACAGACGTACATATACGTACTCTTGCCAGGCCAAACTGGGTCACATTATCCACAAAAACGGAAAATTGCATCGCTATTAGGACAAAGTCTCCCTAATTTCTCCGAGTAAATACCGCCAGTGTTTCTTCACATAATCGTATGTAAATTTTAACGATTGATTTTAGCTCCCATCATACACCTTAGTGATAAACTATCGTATCGAGGTTCAATCAAATTTTCACATTTCCAAACTTCATTAAAGAGTAGACATGAATCGACAAACAGTAAGAATTGTCTATATAACAAACACTAACCTACTAATATTGAAGCGAATCTAATCGCAAGAACAATAGAGTGCAGGAGCGGCAATTCACATATAGGTACAGACTAGGCATTGTCCTTACTTAGAGTCAAAGCCTAGATTGTATTCTCTAACAAAATTCGGGGACCGTCTAGGACTCTAGGCTACGGCCGAATAGTCAGTACACTCGGCGCAAAGTTATTCTGAGTCTGCTTGGCCACACGATCGAAATCAGGTTCTGATCAGAATCTTCTATCCGATTTATAGTCGCCTGAAAGTATGGCAAGGGTCGGCCGGCTAGCCGAGTCATATACGTACCGATGTTGCAGGCTGCCCAGAAGCTGCCCCTCAAACTCTGAGCCGGAGCGGACATGGAGAAGCTGATTTACTTGCTCACCGAGTCCTATAGCGGTCCTAATGCAAAGTCGCTCACGCCCCAAAATTTTGTTAGGATTTTATAGTAAACACTTAGTTTATTAAACTAATCTGAAATGATATTACATAAAAACAAGAACACAAATCGCACTAGAACATTACCTAAACCATACCTCTGCAGATGCTGTGTTTCGTCTTTAGCGCTTGCACTTTAACCCCATGCTATGCCAAACAGCATAAAGTTGTACTCTGCTACGGGATCGTCAACTCCACTATCTAGTCTGGACTTAATACGACGGTTTACTTTCTTCTTCTTTCTTTTGAAATCATGAATATTCCCAAAATATTTTAGTTAGATCTTAAAACAGCAATGACCTAAAAGTAAAATAATTTAATACACAGGGTGCAGACTACCGTTTGAATAATCCTGTAGCTCACCAAGAAACATATTAACTTAGAACCCCATAGACGAATTAAAATATTTTAAGCTCGAAATCGGCGAGTCAAAATATTTCGATGTTATTTCTCTGTGTCGCTGGTCCAGTTCTAAATATCCGACAAGCTATAACTCTACCAGGGACTCAACGAACAGAGCGCTGAGCGTAAGACGTGGATGAATTGATTAGAAGTCAGGGTGAGGAAACGATTTTATTAGAGTCTCGCGACAAGCAATTTAGAACAAGAAGAACAGGCTTTCTATGGGAGACGGATGAAGATGGCGTGGAGAGACACAGATGAGTTGTCAACAACGTCACAGGTAATTTAATAGCAGGATATTTGCCCGAACACAGAGTCGGAATTCGTCACGGATGAGCCATTCATACATTATTGTACTTAATCAAAGATTTAGTTTTTGAATTATTTATGGAACGAGAAGTTCAATAGCGGTTTAAAAAGTGAGAAAAACTTGAAGTGTCTCAAGGAGATAGAAGTGAGGTAAAATACTCTGTGTATAAATATTAAGATGATTGAAACTCTAATATCTTAAAAAAACGCTGGAATGAATTTGCTTCTCCAGGAAATATAGATACCATCACCCATCAGGTATTATAATTTACGTAGTTGGAAAAGTAATTCGATCTAAAGAAAAAACAGAAATTACAATAAAAAATCTAACAAATAATGGTTATAAAGTCAAAAGTGAGAGATCGTGCGATGAAATAGCATTGAAAATTTACGAAATCTTTCCTAAGGAAGACTGAAGAAGCCGCTTTTAAAATCATCTTTCGACGTAAGTGAATGAGGATCAGGAGAAAGTGCCGACACACAAGTCAATGATTTCTTACGAGTGCTCCAATGCAACGTCAATACTTATTGGCTTCATCATTAAAGTAAACATAACTCAATAAAATAAGCTATTTTTTCAATTTTTCCCATTGTTATGAACAAAATAATTAT